GGTGGTGGTAGTAGTTGCATGTGCCCACAAGGAGCAGGCTCGATGAGGAAAGGAGAGCAGGTTAAAGAGAACTCAGAGGGGGTAAGGGAGCAAGACGGACATCCCCAAGAAGTGTGTTTCCTGGCTACCCTGAATTGCCCCCCTTTCCCCAGCCCTCCCCACCTGGACCAGTAAGCAGTCAGTAAAGCAGCTGCTTACAGGGGAGAGTGGGAGTGGGGCTCCCTGCTTGCCCTTCGGAGCAGACACAGGAGTGCAGAAGGGTGCTGTGCCGCGGAGGGGCCTCTGCCCTGAAAGGCAGCCCGCTGGCCGACATGGCGGTGAAGGCACGCTCACAGTTCCACCAAAGGAAAGGGAAAGATTCTGGGAAGAGACGGCAGGGGAGGCACTTCTGGGAGGCAGAAAAAGACAGGGCAAGCTGGGCTCTCCCATGAAACTGCCCTGCCACGCTCTTCTGTAAGATGACAGTTTTCCGATACCTCAGCCAAAACTTGCCTGCCAAACATTCGCTGTCACGCCAGCTCCGACTGGTGGCTGCCCGGTGCGTCAGGGCAGAAGGGCACCCACCCCACAGGGTGCTCGGGTGGCTTTCTCAGAAGCACGTCCCTGGACCTTTCTTCCAAGGCCCCTCTCGGTGGACTCCAGCCTCTTGGTTAGCCCATGAGTGTGCTAGCCCACTGGCACCCCGGGAGACCCTTCTCCAGCCTTACCAACCTCAGTTCCCCCCTCTGCCAGCTCTACGCCTCTCCTCTGAGCGACCTTCCCCATACCCACGGCCCCGCACACCACCGCTCGCCACCCACCGATCACGTCCACCCCACACATAACCACACACACCACGGCTACCACACACGACAGACCATGCACCACCTAAACCTCACGGTACGTACCACACACAACACCCCACCTACTACACACCACCACACAGCCTTCCAGCAGTTCCCAGCAGGAAGCTCCCTCTTGCAGCCCTGAACAGGCCTTGGGCTGCAGCCGTAGTAATTTTCCCCTTCTGCTGCTTCTCCATGCCTCCCGCTCAGGTCTTGATCGCGGAAGGACTGGGGCAGTTTGCACAAGATCCCAAGTTCATCGAGGTCACGACCCAGGAGCTGGCTGACGCCTGCGACATGACAGTCGAGGAAATGGAGAACGCAGCGGACACCCTCCTCAGCGGGGGCACCCAGCAGAGCCCCAACGGCACCCTACTACCCTTTGTTAACTGCAGGGACCCCGGGCAGGACCGAGCAGGGGCAGAAGAGGACGGGAGCTGTGGGCAGGCCCTGGAGGGCCGGCCGCCGAGCGAGGGGGAGCTGCAGGACAGCAGGGTCTGCGTCAGCAGCCTGTAGGAGCCAGGGCTGGGGAGATGCTGGGTTTTTATTTGTTTCAATGTTCCTAATGGGTTCGTTTCAGAAGTGCCTCACTGTTCTCGTGACCTGGAGTTAACCGGAACAGCGTCTTCATTCATTTCTGTTGGGACAAGGCGCAGAGTTGGGTGGTGTGGGGGAGAGCCAGCTTTTCGGGGGGAAGAAAAGCAGCAACCCCAGTTTGTGTTGGCAGAGGTGGGTAGAGTGGTGAGGAGGAGCAGGAGGAGGAGGGGGAGAAGGTGGCCACGTCTGGAAGGGAGAGCCGGAGAAGACAGGCCTGCCCTTGCTCGCACTGTATTTCAGGGCCTGCACCAGGAGCCCACAGTCGCCATTGGGCATGAAATAGAACCTCGGCTTTCTGCGGTAACACCCTCGCCAAAAGGACTCCCTGATCAAACAGGTGTCTTTCAACTTTGCTTGTAAAAAAAAAAATCATTTTGCACATATTCTGTATAAGCCTCACTGTCTCCTTAGGGCCAGGGCCCTGTGGATTTGGAGAATGCACTGGGGGGGTAGGATTTCCATGCAGGGGCACCCAGCGAGACCACAAGACTGGCACGAGGGGCTGGGTGGCAGCGTCCAGCTTCTCCCCAGACGCGGGGCACCTCCACCCCTGCACATGCCATGTGAGAGCCCTGATGGACGGCAGCCAGTGGGGGCGACCACCCACCCAAGTTTGCACCGCCCCAGGGAAGGGGCAGCCAGCGCTGGGAAAGCAGGGGGTGCTGAGCTCGGTGGAGTGCTCTTTCATTTGGTGGTTTGAAGTTTTTTTCTTGACAGCATGTTGTCGTTTTTTTTGTTTTTGTTTTTTGGGGGTGGGTTGGGGGAGTTGGTTTTGGGGGGCTTTCCTTTTAGGTCTTGGTTTTCGTTGTTCCCCAGGGGAGGGAAGGATGAAGGAAGAGTGTTTGCAAAGCTGGGTGCCCATCCACCGTGCGCTCTTTTTACTTCTGCCCATGTCAGCCAGGTTTGGTTTCAGCGGCTTCTTTCAATGGTTGTGGTTCCCTTCCGTGCCCAGCCCCCTCCGACCCCCCTTCCAGAGGATTCCGTCCACGGAAGCTACTTGTAAGGAGAGTTTTACCAGCCCCATAATTTGTTTCAAAAACCCTTCGGTAGGAACAAATCTTCCATTTGTTGGTCTGGTTTGGGTTTGGTTTTGTGATTTGGAGGTGTGGGTCATGCACTTGATGCGGTCTTGCACATATGTGTGATTGAATTGGATTCCTTGATGCCAGGTGTGGTGGTGGGTGCCAGAGAGAAGCCTGATTGAGAGAACGTTAGTGTGCGTGTGTGTGTGCACCCACACAACGTGCCCGTGCGCACGAAGGTGTATGCACTGCCCCCTTCTGGTTTAACTGTGGGGAGATCTGAACCCCCGGGCCACTGGAAAGCAAAAACAAGCCACTGTCTCTGCTTCTGAAACAGGAATCAGTAACTCTTTGCATTTTCTGTCCCACAAGATATGCAAAAACAATGCAATAATATTCATCTTAAAAATACAATTGTGAGTTGTGTTGGCATTAAAACTATTTAAAAAAAACACGCAGAAATTTAAGGGGAAAACTCAAGAAGGCATTTTGCTTCAATATATTCTGTGTAATGTTTTATTGCATTGATAATGTTTCTGTTGAAGAAACCGTTATACTTGAATTCAGGTCAGTTTCAGTATTTTTCAAATATTTTTTTAAAACTGAATTGCAATTGTGCCAGGCGAATATAATGAATTAAGTTTGTTTTTGAATTCACTTCTTGTATATTTTGCTGCATGTAAAGTAAATCATTTTGTATTTGGAGTGTGACAAGCTTTACCTGTGAACTCTTAAGTGCTTCTCTGTGTGTGGTTGGGGACAGGGACGGAGTTGGCTTTCAACTTGTACAATGAGCAAAGGTGTCACCTGTGTCGGTCACTACCCGGCTGGCCACAGACAGGTTTGGACATTACTGTTTTGCATATCTTGTGTTTGCTTCCATTTCCCTTGGTCTTTCCAAAATAATATAACAGGTCTATTCTTCCCGCATCTTTCTCTTAAGTCATCAGGACATACTTGACTCTGGTCTTGGCTCTTTCCACGCTGCTCTGGTTCTCTGCTTTGCCGTTTCTCCAAAACAGCCCTTCACCGGGAGGTTTTCAAGGGAGGCATTCTGACCAGCCTCCAGTCCCGAGGCTGGGGTCAGCATCCCCATGGACTGGGTGGCTGGCTTCTCCGTTCTCTCCCACAGCACAAGCGCTCCTCCCTGGTTTCCCTAGCAAAGTAAACACTGATGGAGAGGATGAAATGGGGGTCAGATGGCTCCTGGCAACCCCTCTACCCACACTGCCCTGGCACAAGCTAGAGACAAGCAACCTGGGTCAAACCTTTGTCCGTCTAGAAGTCTACTCTCGGGAAGGCCCCTTTCTCCATCTTTCCTCCAGGCCTGCCCTTCCCGTGTTTACAGAAGCCAGGACAGGGGACGGAACACGAGTTCACAGTGACGGTGGAAATGCACCTCAGGCCCTTTAGCATTGCTTTGGAACATCATTCAATCTGTGCCATTGCCGTCCAATCTATTTTAACAATGCTGGCTACAGTGGGGCTGGTGGAAGTGGACAGGACCCACCACTCATGCAGCATTTCCTTACTCGAGTCTCTTGTGCTCCCAGCTTCCCCTCAGCCCTTAAAGGACCCCTTGGTGCAGAAATGAGCAAGCTAGGAACTGAAAGAGAAAAATCCCATTCCTCAGAACCAGCTGAGTTGTATTTTCATGGAATGACTCATGGCGGGAGAAAGGGAGAGAGCACAGTGCTGGCTAATCCCAGTTCACTTAGAGTCTAAGTTTCTCCAAACCCAACCCACTCAGACTTACCTGCTTCCTTTCCAGTTCCAGTTGCATCGAGGCCTTTCAGAGATTGAGTCTGGGTGTCATCCTCTGTCCTAAGCGTCTGCCACGAAGATTTTAGTTATTTATTGACAGGGGCCCCCTTTTGAATTGATATCTCTGGTTCTTGATGTACATTAGCCCTTGGATTAAAATTTTGATTGACACACACACCCAACCACCACACACACACATATGTATACACACACTCACACATACACATTCAGACTTTCACAGTGCCTTCTGTTTTTCTCTCTGAGCTTGGCAGTGCACCACCAGTCTTCTTGGCCAGTGAGGTCAGCTGCAAGGTTGAGGTCATGCCTCCTCCTCCCAGGCCTTGGTTTCCATATGGACCCTGCAGCCCTCATCACTCACCCCCACAGGCTCCCTTCTTTACAGCCAGCATCGTCCAGAAGACCAGGGGAGCCTCCTTCCTGCACCAGAACCAAAGTGCCAGCAGTGACGAGGGACAGCCTGGTTCGTGCTGCTGGACAGGGAAGATTTGGATGGACGGTCCCTTCCTCAGGCAATGGCTCTTTCTTAGCCTGACATCGTGATCCATGCCTGTAAGGCTGTCGTATGATCCTGATCATCAGTGATATCAGTACTGAAATCAATGACTCTCACTCCACAGTGTATTCAGTGATGTTTACTCTTCAGCTAAAATAGACTCTTCCCCATGACCTTGTGAAACATGATCATCCAATCTTCTGTAAGCCTTCCGGCAACCCTGGAGCAGCGAGAGAAAGCAGCCAATGGCAAAGGACTGAGGACTGGAAGGGAGGCACCGTAAGTCCCAGGGTCGGTACACTTTGGATTTATGTGTCCTCCAACCGGTCCAGCCTCTGTTACTCCCACTCCTCGGTCTTTCGATCATTGTCTGTGTGCGGACGGCTTGAAGCACAACGACCTCCTTTCCTAGAAGGTTCCCAGAAGGGTCTTGAGGCAACGAGATGGTTTTTTCTCCTGTAGGTGTTGACTTGATTCATAAGTTCCCCCCTTAGTCCCAGGCCCCTCGCCTCCATCTTCTCAATCTGAGAGGCTTCTCCGACTGAAGCCCAGGGGCTTCCTTCCGTCGCTCACCCGCCTTTCTCTCTCGTTCCGAAGGGCAGGTGCTTGTCTGGGATGCAGCTGCCTAACACTTGCCCCCAGCCACGCTCCTTCCAGAACTTCTCCTGGCCGGTCAGGTAAAGATAGCAAGCAACCCCAGGGGAGACATCCTGTTCTGCGCCAAAGTGAATCTCTTCCTGAGGAGTGGGAGCACCCTGAAGATGAGTGTGAAGTGTGTGCAAACGAGCACCGCTCTCTTCTAGAGACGAGTTGGCCTGCCCTGTCCATCCTTCTGGTGGCTATCAGTTGCCACCTGGTCCTCTCCCATTCGTGGTGACCCCACGTGTGCGGAGCAGAACTGGCTTGTGGGGTGTTTCCAGACGGGACCTTTCAGAAGCAGGTCACTAAGTCTTTCTTTTGAAGAACCTTTCCGTGGGTGCCAGTCGCCAACCTTTCAGCTCCCTGTTGAGCTTTGAGCCATCCGTGTGACCCAGAGACCATCACACCTCAGGGTAGAGAGACACCGCAGGTGAGACTCGGTGTCAGGGTTTGAGCCTCATCACCCCATCATCATGCGTGTGAAGGACAGGGATGTTCTCGCCATCCCTCCCGGCCTGCAAGGAGCGAGACCCAGGAAAGGACAACTTGACTTCCAGAGGCCTCCCCTGACATTCTCAGGGATGCCAAAACTTGCTGATGGAATCTGGGCCAATTCTGCCCTTTCCAAAGGGGGCTCTGGGGAACATGCCACCCACAAGAAGAACTGGAAGGGCAATAGGGAGAAGGGAGGGTGTGGGGGGACTTCTTGTATGACTGCTCCTATGTGATAGCAAGGATTTCCCAGTTCAGCCATCCCACAGAAACTAGTAAGATAGAGCGCTTGATCCCTCAAGGCCCTCAACTTGGAAAGAAGAGAAAAATAAAAGTTTGATCTGATGTGCTTCTCTCAGCTCAGTGTGGGGGTATCTTCCCCTCCACGAACGGCCCTTTCCTAATAGTGTGCAGTGTTCCTCCCACCTGGGCCAGCTGGAGATGGAATGCAGGAGGGGAAGCCCCGCCCCCTCACAGGGGGCTCTCCCACCCTAGAGTCCAGAGTCAGCGAGGCAGCCTACGATTAATTCTCAGGCATGAAGCATCTTTCCTCTGCCCCTAAGCAAGTCTCTCTTCTCCAATGCCCATCCTTCCTCCTCCCTGCCCCAGTCTAGTGGAGGGAAGGGATAAATGCAGATTCTGCCATAGCTACATGGTCAAACCATTTATTCGTTTACTTTTATTTCAAAGTAATGCATTATTGCTTCAGGGAGCCAGATCCCAACCTAACAGGTCAATCAATAAGTTTCTGATTCCAACGTCTCTGGGGAGAGGCTCAAACACAACACACACGCACATACACTGACACATACATATCCTTAAGTGCTGGTCTTGAGAAACCTAGTTATGTGATTTCCTCCAGGAGGGGTGAGCAACCAGGAGAGAGAATGGGAGAGCAAAGCAGAGTCAGCGTGTGTGGAAATGGTGCCATGGGAACCTATTATTATGAAGGAAGTCCTCTTTCTCTACATTGGAAAGATACTACTGTTACTAAAACCAAGGCTTTTCCTTCACAGAATTTGAAACGACCTGATCCACAAGAAACACAGTAGTATAGACCATCTGGGCTTTCGGTGCGTCTGAAAAGCCTTCGAATTGGTCTCAGAAAGGGAATTCAAAATTGCAGTTGTGTAGCAAATCCATTCAGTGGGGAGCTGGGGCTGGGATTTTCTATGACAATCCCACAGACCATGACGAGTAAGAAAGGCAATTAAAGGCTAGGTGATTAATCAGAAGTTTGGAGTCCCTCGTTCCCAGAACTAAATTCTCTTCGCATCAGATACTGGCCTCCTTACTGCAGCCCCCTTTGAGGGGCATCTCCTGCAGCGTTCAAATGATTTCATTGATACGAGGAACCCAGAAAGGGTCAGAGGGACCTCACCTGCCGTGACTCAGACCTTGACTGCTCACCTGTCATCTCGCAATCATGTGACCAATCAGGCACAAGATGGTGTCTCTGCACGCCCATCATCAGAGGGACCTCTCGGAGGAGCGATTTCAAAGTGAGAAAACACAAAAATGGAGAAGTCTGGTTTTGGGTTTTTTGATTAACTATTTGAGCCCGGTGACTTCTTGTTCTGATGGTCTTTTTTTTTTAAATCATTTTATTGGGGGCTCATACAACTCTTCTTTTATGGTTGAAGGTTTTTTTTAAATTTACATTATGATTCTTTTTTTTAATTGTTTTATTAGAGGCTCATACAACTCATCACAATCCATACATATATCAATTGTGTAAAGCACATTTGTACATTCATTACTCTCATCATTCTCAAAACATTTGCTATCCGTGTAAGCCCCCGGCATCAGGTCCTCATTTTTCCCCCTCCCTCCCCGCTCCCCCCTCCCTCATGAGCCCTTGATAATTTATAAATT